GACATGATTTTTAATGTCTTTTTTTCTTCCAATCTCTAAAGACAATCATAGTGCATGCATGTCCACCCCTTGACCCCTTCTATCAGGTTTGAACAAGTAGTAATACAAACAATAAGTCGCATTCTTTTATATATTGTACTCCGACCAATAAAATTCAGAGAACCATTCTTTTCAAAAACACCTATTATCATTTTTCGTCGGTCTTCTTAAAAAGTTATGTTCATGTAGTTGACAAGGACCTTTCTAAGTATGTCATCCTAATATCATCTCTAATATTAGACATTTCCCTAGACAAATACAAGATCATCCATATTGAATTGAGCCCGAGACTTCTTTGAGTTATTTAACAACTCGTATACTCAATTAGAAGCAGTGATGGGACTAGATGTACCTCTAGAACTAGAAGAACTAGGTATGAACTTTTGTTTCGATTGAAAAATCGTTCCATTATCTTCAAAATACCCCAATTTATTTTTAATTAAAATTGATTTTTTTTTTAAAGGAACGCGTGGAAAAATAGAGCCTCAAATCCTCTTCATTAATTTTTTCACTTATCTTAATTTCCTAAACATAAATTTTCAAATCACAAATCAAAACTCATAAATCATAAATCATAACTCATAAAATATAAATTATTTATCATAAATCACAATTCACATTTTCCTGTCATAACTCATAAAATATAAATCATAAATAAAAAATAAAAAATGAACTACGTGAAAAACAAAGAAAGCCGCTCACAGAGACCTGAGATTGGAGAAGTCGGTGTTGGCGTCGGAGTCGGAGTCGACGACTCATCATGAGTAGCAATAGCAAGTTTGACTTCACTTCACAAATGAACAATGCTAGGCTTACAGGGACTTGCGAACAAGTTCCCGCCAGGCCACACACATACGTGGGTCCACATAATTTTTTCTTTTATACATGTGGGGCCCCTGGACAATGAAGGGCCCTGTAAAACACCTGTGAGAGTGTGAGTAATGCCCTGTACACTGAGCATTATTCTTTACAAATCACACGTTAGCAAGAGAACTGGAGAAGGGTTTGCCTTTTGCAATTACGTGATTTGGCACGAGTATTGGATAATTAGATCTTCAATTAAAGACATAACATATATCCATTAGGCCTATTTTTTTTAATTTTTTAAAGAAAGGCCCATCAACCCAAACAAAAGGGCCGAAACTTAAAAAGGAAAAAAAAAAAAAAAACACCAATTGGCCAATTCAATCATCTTCCTCCTTGGCTTCTTTCTTCAACGATTTTCGTCTCTACAATTGCAAGACTGGCACCCGATGGCTACTAAAAATTCTGTTGGAGTTAGGACGTGTAGTCGCACCCCCTTGTCGGGTACTAGCTCCGCCACTGCTCTTATTGTGAAATAATGAACATGTAGTAAGCTTGATTGCCTATAACCAGAATGTCATTTTGCCAATTATCTTCTGTACCCTTCTATATCAAAACTTCGAGAGATTCATAGAGATAATGAACAAAATCTCATAATAAACAAATCTTATATAAAACTATATAAAATCTCAATCATTTTATCAAAGGCATGTAAATATATAGAATGATCAAGCTCAGATATTGTATCCTTCTATATCAAAACTATAAACTCTAACGGCAATGCTACTTATATATAGTGGTTTACAAAACACATGATGTAGTGAGATATGATTTGGTCAAAAATTGTTTAACTAGATATAAAAAAAAGTTCATCACTCTCTTTTTGATACCTCATTTGTATGTAAATCATTATGTACGAGTAACATTATTCAAACTCTAAATCCAAACTAAAAAACTAGTCGAAGTTACTTCTATGAAGCATAAGAACTCAATCAAGAGACAACAGCTTACCTCTCTTCTCTCAAAAATAACATTCATAATCTTTTATTCACAAAGAAAACGCAAAAATCTTCCAATCAGAGGTTGAAGATTACATAGACGACGAAGAAGAAGATTAAAAAATAAAAATAAAAAATCTAGAAGGCTGCCAAAGAAAATCAAGCGTTACAAGTGAAATAGGGTAACAGTGGGTTAACTATTTATACATGAGCTGCCCACTGTTGATCTTTAATCAAGAGCAACTAACAACTTTTCACATTTTAAGAGGCGGCATTTAAAACTAAAGTTACATAATAATAATATTTAAGTATGTGAAGCGACGTTAAAAAAATGTAAAAATATATACAAATAATTTGTTTAATAATTCAAATTTAAAGACAAATAATAAGAATTCCGTATTATAATAGTGGTAAAATTAATAATTGGTTTATATTAGCGTTGATTAAGGATTATTCTCGCCATTATAGTTTAGGGTTCAAGATTTGATAATATTCCTCCCATAAAACCCCTTTCTCACTAAGATAAATTAAAATTTAAGTCATTTGAAGAAACCTAATAATAATAATAATAATATTTAAGTATGTGAAGCGACGTTAAAAAAATGTAAAAATATATACAAATAATTTGTTTAATAATTCAAATTTAAAGACAAATAATAAGAATTCCGTATTATAATAGTGGTAAAATTAATAATTGGTTTATATTAGCGTTGATTAAGGATTATTCTCGCCATTATAGTTATGCAACGCTTGAGAAGAGACCTTAAACCTTTTCTGTATAGTCACGATCTTTCAAAAATTCCCCATAAATGGATGCTCAGAAGGCCTCCAAACTCTCATACATAGATTCTTTTTAGAACAGTTACACACACCAGTGCGTTATTTTTTGTACGTAAAAACTCACTTCCATGGAATCGGAATATGTTTTCATTCACTTCCATGACAATGAGAAGAATTTGTTCCAACGAATGACAGAAATGGGGGTGGATGCAGAATTGTTGAAGAAAATTGTGGCCTTCTGGCTATGGTTAGAGTCCCAGGGAGTCAAAGAAATTCTGAAAAAAGTAGGGTTTCAGGATGACAAAACTGTTGCCCTAATTAGCCTTGAGGCTGAGATTGCACTAACTGCACTAGAAAACCACAATTTACAAGATCCCTCTTCTTCAAACATTTGTTTACATGTTACGTCTAATGTAGTTTCCAATGGTTCAATTGTCCCTCTTGAAGAAATTCTTGAAGACAAAAACAAGGCCTGGAGTGGGATCTCCCAACTCTTGAATGGAGTTTGCAGGAACATTTGTTTTAGTGTTCTGGAAGAGCAACCGGAAAGGAGAACTTCCAAATTGGTGGAAATTGTGCACAGATTATTTCAACCATTTGAGAACTCAGACGAAGATCTAGGCACTGTTTCGAAGAGTGACTCGGAATCGAGTTCTTTGGCGTCGTCTGGACTCAATCCATTGGCCGAGGAGTGGAGGCCGAATTCGGAGGCAGAACGCTCTTTATACGTAACCTTCTCACATGGATTCCCGCTTTCGCCAACACAAATTTATTTGTTTTTTACATGGTAATTTTTCTTAACCATTTCCACAATTTTACACTTACACTCTTTCATTTTTGCATTTTTTTAATGTAATGGTTGATAAAAAGTTTGAAATGATTTGGGCAGGTTGTATGGTGACTGTTTGGAAAAGGTTTATGTTCATCATCCACGGAATGCGGCTGGGCCACCGCATTTTGGGAGGATTATGTTCAAAAGGTGGTGGCGGTGGTTACCGGAGTCAATTTTAATGGGACAAGAACAAGTTAGGTTCGACAAAGTATTTGGGAGATCTCTTTGGTGCAAGAAATTTCGACCAAAGAACAACAGGATAGACAATGCCTAATCAAATGGATATAATGTTCTCAACGTTTTCGATAACGAATTTTTATGTTTTATTGTATTTAATTAATGCCTGATTAGAGGTTTTATATTGATTTTTGACAGCAGCCCAAATGGGATCCAAAATTTTCGACTATTTGTTAATTATGCTCTCAACATCTTAAGTTTTCATAAGAATTTTTACTCAACTTTTATATGTTTTAAGTTTTTTAGAGTAAAATGGATTAACACTTTAGTTGAATATTTATACCAGAGGACGAATCTCTGCTTATATTCGCCCAATTCTCTTGGTATGGACTTATATATTATATCAGCATTCTAAAAAGTGTAAAGCGCGATGAAACGGAGAGGCCAAGTTTCGACCTAGGTGAGAAGCATAAAAAAATGTTTTCTTATTTTAATATTATTTTAAAATTTTAAATTAGTCTAAAAAATATTTATTAATTAGAGAAAAAGAAAAAAAGCACACCTAGGCAATGAAAAAAAATGACAATGCGAGGCAAGGTATTTATTGTCCGTTTTGTGCCTAGGCGCCACTATTTAAAACACTGTATTATACTATTATCTTTTCAATATTCCATCCCCCAAGTGAAAAAACTTGTTACAAGTAATGAAGAAGCTAGTATATTTAGATACAAAGTAACATAAAATAAACCCAATTTGATATTTGAATATTCAGTTTGATAACCTGTTACTAATTCATCTCATGCTTCTGGTAAATCAAAAGATAATTTCTCACACTCGATTAGAGAAGAAATTAGAAAAACGATAAACCCTAGATGTTGAAGCCACAAATTCCACCCTAAAAAATCATAGCACTTAACATCAGTTCATCACTATTCCCATTGCTATTATAGAACCATATATGAGATTTTAACCTCATATGACTCCTCAGGGGTCGCAATAAATTGAAGTACCTTTTGTCTATAGGGATAGATCAGACATAAGTTATCCAAGCTCCAATAATTATATTTTGTCTAGTCGACTCTATACCACTTAATTTAATTATTAGTCTTTGCTTTTTTCACTAAAGACAAAAGACCGAACTCTTGAAATATTTATGATCACAGAAACCAATATATATGTAATATTTTCACTAACCTGTCGTATATGTATTTTATCTTCATCTGAGATCTGATAATTAGGTACGAGCTTAAATGATCGTTTTGCCCTTCTAATTATTATCACTAACTTAAGTATTATTTTCTTCAGTGGTCATGTGAACTAATTACAGATGTGGAAATTTAGCCGTAGCTAAACACTAAACTCAAATTTTAACCGTTTAATAGAAAATACTTAAGTAATCACTTTACCCATTTTTTAGGGTGATAGTTCCCGACACGAATTCATGTTCTCTACTTCGCGCTCATTTTCAAGTTTTCAACTTATCGAAATATTTGATCTATCAAATTGATCTCAGATATTGATAAATTAAAGAATAGTTAAAATCATAAAAAGATATACATAACCCTGTGAAGGAATTTAGATGAAGTATACAGCGATTAAGTGGTATTTAATTCTCGACATAGTCATGCTATAGAATTAAATTCGACATGTGATCCGTTCAATACACTCCAAGTGTACTAGTGTCATATTTAACTATTTCTTTGATAAGAACAAATCACAAATTTGAATAGTGAATCGATCAACACTGCAATCTTTTTGTACAAGGTGTCAACCTTTATACATTGGTTGTGAATAAATTATTTATGATCAAAATATAATTTGCATCACACTGTACTTCTCAACGCAATGATCCAACTTATATTATCACAAGTGATCATATGTACTTTAATTTGTATGCTCAATAATAGTAAAAAATACAGTTAATAAATAAAATCACAATTTATTTATTATAAATTATTATTTTATCATAACAAAATATACTATATAAGCTTTATCGCTCTATGTGCCATTGATGATCACCACGATGATCCTGACTATTTGAGTTCCAATGGCGTCGTTATTGATCCATCCAAAATTAAGGTCCATTTCCAGTTTTTTAAATATGAGCCTGTTTGGGCCCGATTTTTTCACCGAAAAAATTGATTTTTTGACCGTTATTTTACTATTACAACCGTCATATTTGATTTCTTCTCTTACATGTGGACCCCACTTTTCTCCTAACGGTCAAAAAATCAATTCTCAAAATCACTCCCAAACAGGTTCTATGTGTTTTGCATGTGCATATATACAATTGTAAATCGAGAGTTTTAATGTTAAGATCTTTATATTGGATGTGTGGTTGTTTTGATATCTATTTTTGCCTTGAATTTAAGAGTATTTTAAATAAAAATATTATTAATTTTAGTCAAAAATGTGAGTTACAAATTACAAGAAGATGCCATAATACATTGAAAACTCAATAGCTGCTTCTTTAACCGAATATTTTCTGGGTCTTAATATAGTATGGATTGTCCGAGATGATGAACTTGCAAGCTACAAGACTGGATGTGGCTCCAAAAGACGTTTCGAGTTCAATCTCTCACATTGTGAAGCTGTTTTACCCGTTGGAACCAATGACAATGCCGCAGAACAATTGCATAAGCAGGTTTCCATTATACATAATTCTATCCGAAAATTTTTAGAATGAATTTCATATATTGTTCCATGTACTAAAGCTAGCGTCACATCGGTCATTGTAGCTTCTGATATGGCAAGAGTCGACAGATGGTGCTAGGGCTCGATATTGAGAGGTTATCAAAGGCTCTTGCTGATAAATATCCTTCGGAGCACTTATTGTTTGTGACCCATGGTAAGTCTTGCCTCCATTTGTTCATAGTCTAGATATTTATCTATATTCAGAGAAATGACTTTCTCATTGTTCATTTTCTTGATTGTGGAGAAATAAGGAAGTGTGTTATCGAAGAATTCCCTGTGATTGGAATGAGTAATCGTCCAATTCGAGCCTTTGATTGTGAATGAACAAGATATAGAAAAAGTGTCAAATCATAAAAAGTGGAATCATGTGTTGGATTATGTGGCCTTTTTTCTTGAACTTTGTGGAAATAATTCCTTCTATTATTGTTATTTACAATCACGGTTGGTGACATAAGGGAAGAAGTTGGGTCTGCTGATTGTGGATTCATACAGAAGGTCGAGACGGTACATCAAGTCGAGTATTGAGCTGACTCACACTCGAGGAAACCTATTGTTTTTGGTGAAAATCAATTCACAGACGGAGATTTGATTGGTTTGCATGAAGGTCAACTAGGTATTACTTATATTACTCGCGACTTAAAGGTAACATCGGATTATTCTCTGAAGAAAATAAACATCATATAGATTGATATTCCAATGTTGCTCTATTCATTCTTCTTGGTTTTTGTCTTTGTAACGTAGAACTGGATGCCTGCTAGCTAAGAAATAAGTTTCCACTCTTTTAATACAATTGTTTGATCTTGCCTAGAACTGATCTTCTAAGCACCCACTACAATAGGTGGTGGGAGATAATTATTGGTTACAAAACTGATTACACCACCTATTATAGTCATCGAGTGCTTAATATAAGCTAAGTATCGGTACTTAGAAGATCAATTCGATGGTCTTTTAATAATAAACTGAATTAAATGCAAATATAATTTAAGAAAAGTTGGGAAATAAAAAGGAAGACATTTGCAAATATAAGCTATTAGATGTGAACATCCCTGAGGCACATTATGCCAAAGTACAAAATAAGTGCAACTACCAAATCATGGCACAAACTAGTTTATTGCGCGACTATTTTTGCGGTATCTAACTGACAGGATTTGAATCGCGACCAAGAAATGACTCCAAGATCTTATCACCACTCCGATGGGCTCTGAAATGGGTCAATATGGTCGAAAATATCCATCGGGGGGAAATCATCAATAAGGCTTATATCCGGAGTTACATTTGGAGCGCTTTTCTCGGGTTCCAAACATGATGATGTTGGGGGAAGATGTACATTCCCAATTTCAGAAGCACTCCCATGCCCAAAAACGTCGAAAAAGTTGGGAACTTCAAACCCCATGATGAATTCTTGGTTTTCAAGTGAAGGGAAGTCCAGATTGAGTTGTGGAGGAAACGGGATAGATGATTGCAATAAATTGTACGGTTTCATGTCATTAGGGTCAAATTCGAGCTGATATAGGCCCTCATCGAAATTAAGCGAGGTTGGATGTATCAGATCTGTCAATCGATTTTCTTCTTGTTGTTTGAAATCTCGTCCTAACACATCTTCTCTTTGTTTTCCCAAGTTGAACTCAAGTGCCTGAAAATTGAAATTGATAATTCAGAAGCTACTGGTAAATGGTTTCATTGATTTTCAGTACTCGTACTCTATAAAAGAGAGAGCAATATAGAAAATCATGAAAAACAATTGTCTTTTGTCTTTGAAGGAGTCGATTCACCCTACACCAAATTAGTCCCTTTAAACGAGAATCAGCCAACAATATTAGTCGAGAACAAACCAAATATCTAAAATCCCTCACATTCTAAGCAATTTTGACTATGCGTGTTTTAGTATATGCTATAATTCATGCAGTAAATGTACAAGAAATTGAATAAACTTCTTACCTCAAAAGAGGGAGCATGGATACCTGAGGCCTCGACTTGTTTGTTGGACGATGATGGAGTCGTCTGCAGAAGCCTTGCCAGCCTCTTCTTTTGGCTGCTCCAAAAATTCTTTACATCATTGTCAGTTCTCCCTGGTAAATATGTGGCAATTCTCGCCCATTTGTTCCCGTATTGTGCTTGAAGATCTATTATTGTTCTTTCCTCTTCTGCAGAAAACTTAATCCCCCTACATGAAATTGGAAAATAACAAGTAAAAACAGAGGGATATATCACAGACATTTCATCAAACATGTAATCTATGCAGAAATGTAGGGATACTGGCTTGAATCAAAATGCCAAAATTTGTTAAAACCAAGATCCCGGATTAATTTAAAAAATAATAATAATAATAATAATAATAAATAAATAAATAAATAAAATCATACATTTTTAAAGGTAAGCATGTATACTAGATAAGGAAAGAGACAAGCGGCATCAAGAAACCTTTTCTGTAAACAATCAAGAAAACTATCATTAATTCCTCAATTTTACTTCCTAATTTTACCGTACATGTAAATAATTCAATTACATTTAACATTCTTTATATGTCACACGCTCATAGAGAAAGACACATGCAATGCCTAAAACCACACATGTTAAAAATCCCGTAGTTCTTGGTCTTTGAAGATGCGTCATCCCTCAACCCATGTGTGCGCATACACACAAGGCCTAAAACCAAAGGTTCACCATCATAACACTCGTGAGCACGTGCATACACACAAAATGACAAAAAACTAAGGCTTGTTCCAAATAAATTTAGGGGCGAGCGAGCACACGCAAGGCTGAAAATCATACAACATTCACCATCATCACACAAAATATTCTAGGAAGGTGAAAAGTAATGTATTTGATGCATACGTTTTCAAGTTGGGTCGGAGTTTGTTAACCCAGCGGAGACGACAAGACTTTCCAGTCCGGCGCAAGAGGCCTTTGGATCGAATAGAGCTCCAATCCCTTGGACCATACTTTTTAACATGACTTAGCAACACCTTATCTTCTTCTTCCTTCCATGGCCCTTTCTTGATTTCACTCATATTTTCATACATTCTCCTCTTCTCATCCATCATATCATGGAGAGACTAGCATTCGCAAGGTTCAACCAGATTTCAATATTAACAATATATATAATTCACCCCCAACTCCCAACCACCCATTTTATTACTACAATCTAGAAGTGAAAATCCAAGCCTAAATACATGTAATCTACTAAGAAATTTTTTACTAGATTTTGTTCACAGGATTTCAGTGTTATACTAAAATTTGTTGTTTTATTTCCAATTTTATTTATTTGGCGTCTTATCCGGGTAGTTACAGTTATGGCAGTTATTCCCACAATCTGCCCCATTGCCCACTATTTGGCCCACATTTCCATTTCAAAATTAGTACACAATTACATAATTGCCCTTCTCTTGATTTGTCGTCCAATTTAAAATTTTGAAAAATTGCAGAGGAAGTTTACACCTATAAATTATGAGCAAACGCGTCCCTAAATTTATATTTATGACATTTACAACCCACGAGACTGAACCATCTATTTAAATACAAATTCAGAAAGAAATACGCAAGATGAGATGCTTGGGATAATTTCAAAGCATATAACATTTCATTTAATGCTGAAAAAAACCGATGAGAAAGATACAAGCATTAATATTCTTTGCACTACGTTTTAATTGCATTGTATTCAACACAAAGATGTGCATAATCTGTATGCCAAACATCATTGGCAACTTAATAATCTGTTGAGTAAAGAGGCAAATCATATCTTACTAAAGTTATAGTTTTCATATATCGTCTCTGCTTTCTAAAGCTGAAGCCATTCGTTATTTCTGGATGTTGATGTTCTCCCTTGGTAAAGTTCGACCTTGAAAAATGATTTAAAAAAATAAAAACTAGGTTACAAAACAGCACGAGGGAAACTGAGGAAAAGCTACAAATATATAAAAATATCGAAAATCTGCATCTACTCAGAGCTGTAGGAATTGGTTCAAATAATTAACCAAAAATTGGAAAATAAAAGGTGTGTAAAAGTGAAAAATGAAAATGTGTGACTACGTGTCAACTTCGACTAAATATTTGGACTTGATCCGATGGTCAAATTACAAAAGTAAATAGACCAACTTATTCTACTCGTCGAGTAGATCGTCGTGGTATATTTGAAATCTCGAAACCAATTCCGGATGAATGAAAAATTGCGGTCCAAAGTTGAAAAAAAATGAAGTGTTGCAACTTTTTGAAATGATGCATGTTTTGACCCACACTACTTCATTTGCACCATTTCTACATCTATAAATAGAACCCTTTAGACATGATTTTGGGTACACCAATTGCATTGAGCATTCATTCTCCTTTTGCAATTTTCTCCTTCTAATTCCATAGAATTTTCATGCATTTCCATAGTAGAGAGGGAATTCCGTTCGAGTTTGTTGGTCGAAGCCATTTGGAGTGCCCCTATGGCGTGACGTGGTCGTTGTATCTTGGGAGATGATTGTCGAAAAATCGTTAGCACCGATACGGGGCAAATTCATCTCAAGGACCAAGTGTCAAACACTTGCCTCGACCAAAAATTCATTACTTGCATCTTTCTTCCTACAGCATTCTGATTTCTTTTGATTATATTTTGATTTCGGGAAATGATTAATATTGTTTACATGTTTATGTCGCAAGGTTCGATCAAAAGAATAAGTTGCTTTCGTTCAAGAATCAAAAAGGATGAATCCATATCCATGCATTCAGATTTGGTAACTTTATGTTTTGCTTCTCAAATCCTTTTTCGGTAAGTCGAAATTACGTTTCGATTTCACGCAAATAATCGGTATGCTTTTGTGAATATAATATGCACGTAATTGATGTAAATTTCCCTAACAATCTTAAGATGAAGTTTGTTGATTTTCTCGTGCATTTTATATTTACGTTCTTGAAAATTATGTAGTGTGCAATTCTAAAAATTGTGTATAAACACGTGAATCTGTAAACTGACAATTGGTTAAGCACTTAACTTAATGGTATATATGATATTCCCAATAATTGTACTTGCCGAAATTGTGATACCAATTGGAAAGTTGGCAGTTTTAATTTGCTGGCATCTTTTAATTAAACAAGTGATTTTGTACATGAGGAATCTTGATTGGGTGTTTGTGCACTCATATTGATGGTTCTGTTTTCCATGAAACAGAATTTGTGCAAAAATAATTGGAACGAGAATGTCTTAATATATTATGATGAATTAAATAAAATATGCATGTTGTTGAAGGATGTATCTTTCCACATTTCTAAAATGGCATGAATTGGTCTTTTACCATAAGTTGTGTTACCAAATAAAATTGCCTTGTATACGAACGAGTGCTTACATGAAAAGATGCATATTTAATGAATAAATTACTGGTTTGATGATATTAAATAAACTACATGAAGGGTTGCTTCAATTTATTTAGTAATTAATTACTTGTGCAATTGTAAATTTAATCATGTTGTAACTGCCTCAATTAAAAGTAGTCAACTATTATATGTCGTCCATTCATTTAGAATATGATAACCACCCATTTTATTACTACAATCTAGAAGTGAAAATCCAAGCCTAAATACATGTAATCTACTAAGAAATTTTTTACTAGATTTTGTTCACAGGATTTCAGTGTTATACTAAAATTTGTTGTTTTATTTCCAATTTTATTTATTTGGCGTCTTATCCGGGTAGTTACAGTTATGGCAGTTATTCCCACAATCCGCCCCATTGCCCACTATTTGGCCCACATTTCCATTTCAAAATTAGTACACAATTACATAATTGCCCTTCTCTTGATTTGTCGTCCAATTTAAAATTTTGAAAAATTGCAGAGGAAGGTTACACCTATAAATTATGAGCAAACGCGTCCCTAAATTTATATTTATGACATTTACAACCCACGAGACTGAACCATCTATTTAAATACAAATTCAGAAAGAAATACGCAAGATGAGATGCTTGGGATAATTTCAAAGCATATAACATTTCATTTAATGCTGAAAAAAACCGGTGAGAAAGAGACAAGCATTAATATTCTTTGCACTACGTTTTAATTGCATTGTATTCAACACAAAGATGTGCATAATCTGTATGCCAAACATCATTGGCAACTTAGTAATCTGTTGAGTAAAGAGGCAAATCATATCTTACTAAAGTTATAGTTTTCATATATCGTCTCTGCTTTCTAAAGCTGAAGCCATTCGTTATTTCTGGATGTTGATGTTCTCCCTTGGTAAAGTTCGACCTTGAAAAATGATTTAAAAAAATAAAAACCGGGTTACAAAACAGCACGAGGGAAACTGAGGAAAAGCTACAAATATATAAAAATATCGAAAATCTGCTTCTACTCAGAGCTGTAGGAATTGGTTCAAATAATTAACCAAAAATTGGAAAATAAAAGGTGTGTAAAAGTGAAAAATGAAAATGTGTGACTACGTGTCAACTTCGACTAAATATTTGGACTTGATCCGATGGTCAAATTACAAAAGTAAATAGACCAACTTATTCTACTCGTCGAGTAGATCGTCGTGGTATATTTGAAATCTCGAAACCAATTCCGGATGAATGAAAAATTGCGGTCCAAAGTTGAAAAAAAATGAAGTGTTGCAACTTTTTGAAATGATGCATGTTTTGACCCACACTACTTCATTTGCACCATTTCTACATCTATAAATAGAACCCTTTAGACATGGTTTTGGGTACACCAATTGCATTGAGCATTCATTCTCCTTTTGCAATTTTCTCCTTCTAATTCCATAGAATTTTCATGCATTTCCATAGTAGAGAGGGAATTCCGTTCGAGTTTGTTGGTCGAAGCCATTTGGAGTGCCCCTATGGCGTGACGTGGTCGTTGTATCTTGGGAGATGATTGTCGAAAAATCGTTAGCACCGATACGGGGCAAATTCATCTCAAGGACCAAGTGTCAAACACTTGCCTCGACCAAAAATTCATTACTTGCATCTTTCTTCCTACAGCATTCTGATTTCTTTTGATTATATTTTGATTTCGGGAAATGATTAATATTGTTTACATGTTTATGTCGCAAGGTTCGATCAAAAGAATAAGTTGCTTTCGTTCAAGAATCAAAAAGGATGAATCCATATCCATGCATTCAGATTTGGTAACTTTATGTTTTGCTTCTCAAATCCTTTTTCGGTAAGTCGAAATTACGTTTCGATTTCACGCAAATAATCGGTATGCTTTTGTGAATATAATATGCACGTAATTGATGTAAATTTCCCTAACAATCTTAAGATGAAGTTTGTTGATTTTCTCGTGCATTTTATATTTACGTTCTTGAAAATTATGTAGTGTGCAATTCTAAAAATTGTGTATAAACACGTGAATCTGTAAACTGACAATTGGTTAAGCACTTAACTTAATGGTATATATGATATTCCCAATAATTGTACTTGCCGAAATTGTGATACCAATTGGAAAGTTGGCAGTTTTAATTTGCTGGCATCTTTTAATTAAACAAGTGATTTTGTACATGAGGAATCTTGATTGGGTGTTTGTGCACTCATATTGATGGTTCTGTTCTCCATGAAACAGAATTTGTGCAAAAATAATTGGAACCAGAATGTCTTAATATATTATGATGAATTAAATAAAATATGCATGTTGTTGAAGGATGTATCTTTCCACATTTCTAAAATGGCATGAATTGGTCTTTTACCATAAGTTGTGTTACCAAATAAAATTGCCTTATATACGAACGAGTGCTTACATGAAAATATGCATATTTAATGAATAAATTACTGGTTTGATGATATTAAATAAACTACATGAAGGGTTGCTTCAATTTATTTAGTAATTAATTACTTGTGCAATTGTAAATTTAATCATGTTGTAACTGCCTCAATTAAAAGTAGTCAACTATTATATGTCGTCCATTCATTTAGAATATGATATATGATTGCAATTATTAATGCATGGATGTTGAACCAGTACGTTTCTTTCCAAGATGGTTTATTTTTGAACAAATGAATGGGATTCTAAAAGCAGTTTACTAGATGGCAACAAAAGATGGAAATGCGTGGACCTCCTCCATGAGACATTTTATAGAATAAACTTATACAAATGAATGTATAAATATTTGGAATATAAGTTGCTATTCCTACACTTTGTTCATGATGAATTGGATATTGTTAAAACCAACTCGAGTCCAATAATGAATTGATGGAAATAAGGAAATTATTCCTAACCATTGGACATATAAGGATGCCAATTATTTGATGAAAATATATGAATTTTCATGACGATTCCTTTGATTGGAATATGAAAATGGCATGGTAAATTAGTTGGTTAAAGTTTCATAACTTGTTGAAATTATACTAACTTTGATTAATGTTAATAGCCTCATTTAATCCTATGAAATTAAGTGAGATGATTTAAGTGGACATAATTATTTAGTTATGAGAATTAAACCACTTAATTATTTGAAATATTCTACGATCAATTTAGATAAAAAGGTGCATCCTTTCATATGAATAATCATGACTTTTGGTATAATTATTTTTCAATGGGTATGTCTCTTCATGGAGATTATTCCAAGAGGTGTGTCCTTTTATAGGATCGTGTCTTTTGAGAACACAACTTTTCAACCGATGGTTGAAATGAAACTATCATGTAAAATGTCACAAATGTGATAAGTTGCATATGTTTGAAGAAGTTGCAATGCTTCGCCCTCTTTATTGTTGAATTTGACTTCAATCATGAAACCAATTAAGTTGGTAAATGTTTTGAAAGCATTGGAGGTCTATATGATGGCCTTGATTTAATTTGAATGATCAAATTAAAATAATTGGATTGAAGAACGTTATATGCAACTTTAATTGAAATAAATTGTGAGTCAACGATCACTATTTTGAAAGTATTTAGACTTTCACGAAACACTCGATATAGATATTATATAAGAGATAAATAAATTGAACTATGAAAGAGTTGATAAACCCTAAGTTCAATTGTAACCCAAAGATGTGGGGGATTATAATAAATGCTCGTGAATTTGAATGAAAAGTTTAAAACTTATGGATGCAACGTTACTAAATTGCATATGTATTCCTAATTGAGGAATTGTGGGGATAACTCAGTTTAACAGTCACGTTTGCTTCTATCTTAGAATCACAGAACGATATCTATAAAGGTAGAAAGATAAAAAAAAACACTTATACTAATTATAAGGATGATATGCACTAAGTCTAAAGTGGATTAAATGGGTAGAAGCCAATTATGGCGGTTGTTTGGACATGCAAAAGCAATTGGAATATTTGACGAATATTTATAAAGTTCAAATGCATTGTAATGTTTCAATGATGATATTGAATACCCATGATTCTGAAATTCACTAATAAAAGTGATTGACTAGTGTAGTGTTTGATAGAAGTCCTCCAACCGTATTTGGAAATTGATAAAGCTTTAGAGGATTTCTTGGTGGCGATAATTTGTATCTATCAAATGAATCGATCGTTGCCTAGCTATATTTGATAAGATATTAAGTCATAAGTAATGGTAAGTCTAGACGTATAAGTGATAGACGTAATACCGTTAAACAGTTGATCTCAATGATGTAAACTCGTGGAACCTTTAAAGAGATTTACTAAGAGAGATCAAGAATACTGCATATCGAAGGGAATGAGGTAAAGCCTACTACGTTAGAGTCCTTGTAATGGTAATCCTACCTTGTTGACTGGAGATCCCAAGATCTTGGTTCAAAGGGACAACTAAGTTATGAGAATTCTATGAAGCACTAAGGAAAATAATTTCCTAACTCATTCCTATGATACTAAAGTGCTTTCTGCAGAGTTGTAAGAGGTTAAGATAATTTTTTAATGATTCATATATCTTCATTAAGTCAAGTGGAGTAGGGCAGAATACTTTTAGTAGGAGGTCACCTATGTAAGTGTGAAGTAGGGCCGCTTCAATGAGAATTATTCAAGGCTTGAATTCTCTAAACACTTGCAGAACCAAGAAGGATTTAGGGCCAGAATGAATCAAGTCATGAGAACCGTGAATGGTTTAGGAAAGACATCTGTGTGAGTATCATTGTCTTGGCTTACACTAAAAGCTAAATGGTTCAAGACATCACGTTCACCAATTAGCCGAGTAAGTCCGATGGTATTTCACTAAGGGAGGTTCAAGACCAGAAGCTACCTTTCCTGATGCAGTGTTTTTTCGCACCCTCTCTACATTGCATCATATCATCGCATTTACATATGCGTACCCAATTTCCATTCATGTGGGGGATTGTAGAAATTGGTTCAAATAACTAACCAAAAATTGGAAAATAAAATGTGTGTAAAAGTGGAAAATGAAAAGATGTGACTACATGTCAATTTCGACCAAATATTTGGACTTGATCCAATGGTCAAATTATAAAAGTAAATAGACCAACTTATTCTACTCGTCGAGTAGATCGTCGTGGTATATTTGAAATCTCGAAACCAATTCCGGATGAATGAGAAATTTCAGTCCAAAGTTGAAAGAAATGAAGTATTGCAACTTTTCGAAATGATGCAAGTTTTGGCCAAGTGTTGCAACTTTTTGAAAGGATGCATGTTTTGACCCACACTACTTCATTTGCACCCTTTCTACATCTATAAATAGAACCCTTTAGATATGATTTTGGGTACACCAATTGCATTGAGCATTCATTCTCCTCTTTCAATTCTCTCCTTTCTAATTCCATAGAATTTTCATGCATTTCCATGATAGAGAGGGAATTCCGTTCGAGTTCGTTGGTCGAAGCCATTTGGAGTGCTCCTATGGCTTAATGTGCTCGTTGTATCTTGTGAGATGATTGTCGAAAAATCGTTAGCATCGATGCGGAGCAAATTCATCTTAAGGACCAAGTGTCAAACACTTGCCTCGACCAAAAATTCATCACTTGCATCTTTCTTCCTACGGTATTCTGATTTCTTTTGATTATATTTTGATTTCGGGAAATGATTAACATTGTTTACATGTTTATGTTACAAGGTTCGATCAAAACAATAAGTTGCTTTCGTTCAAGAATCGAAAGGAATGAATCCATATCCATGCATTCAGATTCGGTAATTTTATGTTTTGCTTCTCAAATCCTTTTTCGGTAAATCGAAATTATGTTTCGATTTCACGCAAATAACCGGTATGCTTTTGTGAATATAATATGCACGTAATCGGTGTAAATTTCCCAACAAGAGCTTCATATCTTCAACCTACGGAGACAAAAAAGGGTATGATTATGCCATCTACAAATACTCGAGCAAAAACAATAAATTCTGAGTCAATCAAGGCAAATTGAAGCTGAATGAGAAGAAAACTTCGTCCAAGATTATATCATGTTAATATGTAGACACCTGAAGCTACCATGTCAGTTGGAGAAAAGAAAGGTCCAAGGCTGGGGTTTCTTTCTCTCTTCCTTTTTGGTAATCATTATTGTGAAAATTTCTCTTGAATGCTAAATAATTCAAATTCTGTCCTTAAAAAAAGATTAGTAGCTACAGAAGTTTCTCCTTTATCTCTTTATTTATTTTTAAATTAAGACTCAGTCAATTAACTTCTCTCTAAAATGATTGAGTGAATTGGAATGTTTCATAATATTATGTCATGTGAAAAACTGGATAACAAGTTTTACTAAAGGACAGTGCTTAAATGTTCGTAAAGAAATTTTAATCGCCCAACTGTGGCCATATAGAAGCCAATTTCTGTGAAATCCACTTGACAGATTTTGTGCAGTCACACCAGAGTGAATCTGATTCACTTTTTCATTACCCAAATATTCTGTGTAACAGAAAATGAAGGTTTCTTGTAGTTGTTTTGGGTACTAATTTAAAGAAAAATCGAAGTCACAAGGCCTATGAATGTGGCAGGGCAGAGCAGAAGAGAAATTTGGAAATGCGGTAGAGAAGAGTGTCTTTACCAAAACAGAAGCAACTTAACCTGGTTAGACTTCTTCTCAGTACATTAGAGTTTACAATTACCAATCACTACATTAGGTTTCAAATGAAAACTTACACAACATTACAAATCAATATTGAAAGCAAACTATTTATACCATTGCCACACACTGTTTATATTGAGCATGTTTGGCAAAGCTTAAATTATAATTTAAGTTGATCATACTCTTTATCCACACATTCCTTAGGATCAACAACATACTACCCACTTATTTTCCACAAATACCATAGACAAAAACCTAGACGCACTTAAAAGCACTACCAAACAAACACGTTGTGTGTTTACAAAATGAAAACTCTATAGCCTCATTTTCAGAAATTTCAATTATACGAAAAAAACAAACCTTTGTTTCTAATCTTCTCCATTTCAAAGACTTTTTCAAGTTGTAAAGAATACAGTATATAGTTTATAAAAACTTTATCATGGAACTAGCACTCAATAAATAGTATTTTTGGCTTACCTCAGCCAAAACGGCAACTTGGCAACGTTAGAATACCAATCAATCCCTCCATCCCTCCCAAAATCCCCATAACAATAAACTAAACCTCCATTTGGATACAATTTATAAATTCAATCAAAATCAAATATTAATTTTAATTTCACATTCATAACTATGACTAATTATCATCCATATATTTTGTGGGTTTTATTTATTAATGAAATCAAAATCCTTTGTAACCAAGACAATCCAAGTTAATTTAGTATATTTCTCCATGTTCTAATGAGTTCTGCTAGGATTGCTCACTCTCGAATGAATGGGAACTTCTTTAGGTTTTTTCAAAGGCATACCCGAACCACCCAAGTCGCTCTTCCCTTGATTTGTATTCAAATCGTTGCCATTTCAACTTGTTAGCATGTATTCTTATATCTGATTTTATTCATTCAAATATTCGACACATAAAAAGAGAGAGGAAAATTATTATTTTTTCCTAAACCAGCAAAAGAGCCGACAAGATAACATTATTGTAATATATCTGTAATACAATCCACATCCTTCTATATCCCCCAGTCACCCACTTTATATCCCATTACAATTTGTTTTCTCCTCCATCAAAGTAAATTTACCTCAACATGTACGCATTTGTGAAGGACTATCTGGAACTACTCTACCTTGTTAATAACCACTATTATTTTCCTTGCTCTTCATTTTTCTTCTCCTCTACTGAGACTTTTAAATTATGTTGGCAGCTTGAAATTTCACATTGTGAAATGGTGCTACAAGCTTCAGTATTTTATATAAATGAATGGAGTCAAATTTTTCTGATAGCACAACAATGGCATTTGATGCAGTAAAACGTCTGATAATTAGACAATGCAAGGAAGGAAAGGGATAGTAACTTCTCTTCAAATGAGGCAAATAACCAAATAGAGAAACTGAAGACTCAAACAGGGACAAACTCTATAGGCAATTAATACATACAATATCTGCCTATCCATCATATATCACATATCAAACCTCATTCTCTTCGAAATTTGACTTTTATACCACCTTGTAAATGTGTAAAGAAAGAGTACCGCCGACTTAAAAGTGTTTCATAATCTCTTCTTAAACCAGCCTCCGTATGTTAAAAGAAATCATAAATTGATTTCGTAAATGTCAAATTCTAGGGACTAAACAATTTTCAAGTTACTAAAGTGGATCTTGAACAATCTAACTCGATGCCATTATAAGTTTTTCAAGGTTGGGTGGTCAAAACTAAACATTTTAAATTTCAATGAGAATTGAAGACATAAACCTAAGTTCGGTGATCAAAACTCGACATTTTAAACTTCAATGAAACA